AATTCTCAGTGGCATCTCATTCAAAATAGAATTGTATTGCGCCTTGTGCATTATGTTTTTGAAGTTTGAAAAGTACTTTTTCCTAGTCCGGAGTAGTATTTCAATCAAGTCGAACGAACTTGAAAATCTTGTTTTCAATTTTTTTCGTGATGGTTTTCCTCTTGAAGGTCGACTAAACTAACCACATTTTGTAGACATTTTTTTCTCCACAAAGCCTATTAAGAAAATTATTTTTAGAATCTCTGGACCACAATAGAAATCTCGATTTAATAGATGCCATCACTTATCATAACTAAGTAGTTTTGTACACTGAACTATTTTATCAAGTGAAACTAGTCAGTATCGGTTGGAAAGATGTGGCAATAACAAGGAATGCAGTTTAGATGTCTAATCAATGTCAAAATGTTCTTCATATCCTTTTCGTTCGTTAAAAGTAAGTATCGTTTCAGATCCATGATAGGAGTAGGTCGACGCTGTTTAGGTGACATTGTTTGAGCTAGTGAATTTTCAGCGTAGATGTCATTATGCATGTTGAAGCATTTTCGTCTTGATCTGACTACTTGATCATCCTTGAATTTTTTATCGTCTTCTTCACATTTCCTGATTTTTGTTGTGCTCTTCTTCTGACGGTTACACGTTATTCCCGAAACAAACTTAGACTTTGTCCGACTATGAAAATTTCGTTGACTTTCAATGTATCCATATATACTACCACACTTTCAGACTTCCACCACATATTTTTCTCGCTTCCTTCATCGAATTTGTGCCAGGTAGTCTATTTGTCGCTTCGTAAGATAAGTTTTTTTTAGCGAAACTTGTGGAGAACTCATCCTTCTCGAAGACCGTTAGCTTCGATGTAGGAGATGATTTCTTAGTGGTATACTTCAAGCTGTATCTTGATAACTTCTCGACCATCAATAAGTTCAAGTTTTGACATATACAATTGTATTCTAAAATCATCGAGTGGTGCTCGTTCGACATATCTTGAATGCTTGCCAATGGTGGGATATCTAATCGCATTGTCTTAGTATATAAATTCCTGCACACATCCTTCTTTCACACACTCGAACAATTTTCCCTTGTTCTTTGTACATTGTTCAGTAGGGACTCTTATCCTTCTTACCTATTCGATAGTGAATGAACAGTACTGCTTCATTGACAATGATGAGATGGATGAATACTGAATTTAATAGTTCTCATAAACACTGTGATTATTTCAAGGTACCACTGACGTTTTTAATAGAAAAAATACCTTCAAAGGTTAATAAATTATCTCATGAAGTCGAATACGACTAAAAACTTGTAGAAGAAAATATTTATTAGCTGCTCAGATTTTGAAAAAAATTTGGTGAATTGTCTTCAGTAAAATCTTTATATATTTTGAATGCAAATAGTCATTGATCTCGACCTTGCATAGATCAATGGAGGAGAGGTGAGACTACTTATCCTTTATATTATAGTTGGGAAAGTATTTTGTTTTCACAGTGAATTAAGCTCGTCTTCAAAACTCATGATGTATTCAAGGAGAAAAACGACTGGAATTTTCCATCGACTTTATAAAAAGATAGATCAATGTCGACTCTAAATAGTACGAAAAATTCGAGTTACTTCTCTCTTTTTGTTTAAAAGTTATTCAAAAAATATCTATGGCTATTTAACTCTGAAATGGACATTAATTGAATTTGTTTCATGTTGATTGATACTTATTTGACGTTGTATTCCATTATTATCTTTTATCCAAATTTTTGAGTTGTCCATTCTAAGAAAGATTTCCCGTGTCCAGAACATTCAGTGCGGCTCAAGAGTAGAAATGCTTCCATTTCAAATACTATTGATCGTTCTTTATTCAATGGTAGACTCAACTTTCTTCACTTTTAAGTTCAAACTCTCTCTACGTATAAGTGATCGATGGCTGATCATATCGTATACAAATCGCATATTTACGTAATTCAAAGTCCTAATTCAACAGATTATTTCTCATGGAAAATGGAAGCATGTACTAAATCCTGTTGTTTTATTCATCTATGAAAAATTATCAACTATCACTAATCTATAATAGGTTGTGAAGATAAATATCTTTTAATTAAATGTTTTTTATTTGATATTTATTTGTGAAAACGTATGAATACAGCTTAATCATTAATAGTATTATTATTTTATATTTTAACGAAACACAACATACATCTGATTGATTGAATGTGTATAAAACAAAACAAAACAAAACAAAAACAGAAAATGATTAGTGAGTAAAATGGATCATGATCTATCTGACATTCTAAATGCTTGTATTGATATAAATGCAGTAACATATCTGACATTAAATAAAACGAGCTAGTTGTCCATAAAATTCCATTAACAATTGAAGAAGCGAAGTCATTGATGGACGTTGGTCAATTGAAATTATCCAACATGCACTCATTAATTTGAATCTACATACAGGAAAAAAATTTACATGATCATTATAAATTTAATTCTCATGATAATATCTTACAAAGAATCAGGACAATTAATTGGTTGTACGAGACGATAATTATCTTGTAGATGTGTAACCAAACTACATGATTCAATATCAGCATAGGGTTGTAAACCACGGCTCATCAATTCCCAGAGAAGAACACCATATGACCACTAGTAACAAAGTAAAATAAAATGAATACTAGAATAAAAGAAAGCAACGAAACTTACCACGTCGGAAGCTGTTGAAAAACGTCGATCATTGATTGATTCAATAGCCATAAATTTTAATGGACGACTTTCATTTGGAACATCCATTGGAAGACAATCATAATCTTGTGGAAAAAGATCACGTGACAGAGCATAATCAGTTAGTTTGACCGTTAAATCGTCCATGACTCTACAAAATTCATTCAAACAAAAAAAAAAAATAATTCGAATAAAACTAAAGTTACTATTCTCATTTCCTTAAATGCACATCATCATATATTATTTTCAATTAACCCAATTTTACTAGTTATTAATACTAAAAAACTGCAAATCAGTAAGCGTCGATTCTCACTATTCTTATTTATAACAATATATGATTGAACGAAAAATTTCAATAAATTCTTTGATATGTCATCTAATGGAACAATTAAATTAGCAGAGTCGTATTAGAATTAGCATTAGCATCTATTAATACTAATACTAATACTTTAAGCATTAGTATTATTTGCATAAGAATTAATTTATGCCACACTATTATCATTAAATTAGCATTATTTTTAATTCTAATACATAGATTATCGACGACTAGATCTCGGATACTCTAAGCTTAGAAGTTTCCAAAACTGAATAATTTTGTTGTTAGCGAAAGCTTTCGAAGATGAACTATCAGATGTACAGTCGCACATAGCATACATATTCGAGTTAAAAATAATGCTAATTTAATGCTAACAACTTGACATTGATTAGTCCTAATACAAATAATGGGTAATCGGAAAAGTTTTTGCACAAGATGTTTGTTCACTCTTGACCCGCTAGAAAGCTCTGCTCATGAGTTAGGACCAAAATTTTGTGCTCTTTTCAAATATGGGCTTAGAAATTTTGTCATGAATTGTTGTTCGAGAAGAGTAGAATAATCTTTGAAAAGCTCAGAAATCAATTTGGACGGAATTTGTGCATCGAAGCTTCCGGTGAATATATTTTTTTCATATTCGTCGGCTTGAACACATTTCAGAACTATAGGTCGAAATCAATATTTGAATATGAACTTAGAAATCTTGTGTCTAATTTTTGTTCAAGAGTAATGAGAGACCTTTTGAAAGACCTGAAAAGTTATGTTCAATGATAAGCCAACAGCTTTTTGTTTGTCCTACAAATCCCTTTTCGAACATACTAAAAATGGTCGAAGTCAATCGTTTTATAGAACGGACACTTCTCTACAAAATATGATATTGAACTAAGCTGTAAGTTTTACTCAAATGTGAGGTTACAAGCATTTTTTCAAGAGTTCCTTTAAATGTAGAACGGTTTTTGATCAACACGTCGATTTTTCAAAAATGAATATTCCAGAAAGACGTAAAAAAAACTTCAACTAGTAAAATTTGTAGGGTAGCTTCTGATCTACAAGCTGATATATAAACAAAGATTTCAACTTTTAGTTTCAAAACACAATAGTGAAAATACAAAAATGTGTGGAAAATTTTTCCATTCAAACTGGTTTTCGAGCTTTTCAAAGATTATTTCACTCCTCTGAAGCAAAAACTGAGACAAAATTTCTAAGCCCACATTCGAAAAAAACACAAAATTCTGGTTCTAAGTCATCTAGTGGGTCAAAAGTGAATAGATATCTTGTGCAATAACTTTTCAATCATTCGCTAATACCAGAGTATTAAGGTTGTTATTAAGACTAATGCTAATCTGATACCTCTTCATTGAATGTTTCTATAGAATGAATCAAAGTAAAAACTTGAATTATGTTTCTTGAAAAATTTTAGTATCAATACTACATTGAAACACTTTTTTTTTTATTATTATCTATTACAACATTTCTTCTTACTAAATGTCGTTTTTGAATTATTTACAGAACAAGTTAACATATTCTGTTGTATCAATGACAAAAAAAAATAAAACAAAATTATTATCATTTTCGAATAGTAGGAATTTCAGTACAAGAAACTTACGCAATGTATAGTATTATCCATTCATGTTATTAGTTAAAGATAAATATTTATTTTCTCATTTGTTTTTTATAATGATAACGGATATCTATTTTTTGATAAAATATATTCAAAAATAAAGACAACCTAGCTATCTATAAATTTTCATAATATCATTGTTCTTTCAATATTTTAATCTTGAAATTACAATATGATATTTTAATTAATATCTTGCAAAAGTTCACGGTAATGGAAAGAAGAAAAAAAAATGTGTCAGTAAGTAAATAGGCAGACCAACTCAAGAAAATCAAAGCAAACAAAAAAGATAACGTATTTAAAGAAAAACAATGATATCAAAATTCACATTTGACGTGTTGTTCTTTAAACAATGTTTTGCTGTTTTCAACGTTCGACAACATCAAACATCGATACGTAGGCGTTTTAAACTTCTACGCACCAACTGTGGTGTTTGCACTTGCCTTTTTTTCGTTTATATTGTTCTACTCTTTTCAGCCTAAACCATGAGAAACAATCACTTTTACGAAGTGGTATCAAGCCTCTTAGCTATCAAACAATATTAACTATTCCCTATGCTCATGTTATTCGAGATGATAAAATTTCAATTGAATCGTCAAATATAACCGAGCCAAATGCTACCCATACGTATTGGCTATTCAATGGCATGATACCTAATCAAGCATATGAAACACGTATGTATCATATGTATATATACCCATAGCAGACAATTCTCAAGACATAATTATTAATTTTATCTTTCTTTTTTTTTTCTAAAAAAAACAATAGCATGTTTCTCATTCGATGATGTTGATGTTCCAACTCCTGTTGTATTCACAACAAAAACTACAAATGGACATTCTCTATTTGAACGTCTTTTTCAAATTAATCCTGTCAATGCAATTAATTCTTCTGCAGCAATTCGCAAGCGTCAAATTAATCAGTCAAACTCAATAACATCAAATACTATTTCAATGGCTCGACCATTTGACGAATTTCCTGCAGATCCATCAATATCGAATAGTTCTCTTGATGTACAAAGTAATAGTATTGTACCAAAATCGGACAAAAATTAAACGAAAAATATAAGATTTTCAAATACTTACAAACAATTTCGTGTACCTATATCTTTCATTAACATTTTACGTCTATGAAGAAAATGTAAACCTTTGGCTATATGTATAGCCATATAGACCAACTCTTGTGTTGATAATAACTGTAACGAAAACAAAGATAGAATGTTACTAATATTTTCTTTTCTTTTTATTAAATACTCACTTGTTCTCGAGGACTTGTTCGATTTTGAATAATAAATCGTTTAAGAATTCCTTTATTACTATATGGATAAATAATTAATGGATATGGTGATAATTCATTCTTGTAGATAATCCCTAATGGACTATTTATAGTCGAGTGTTTTAATGTAGCAAATAAACAACAATCATGTAACATTTGATTGAGTTGTGTTGATGTTGCAGATGAATTTACAGTTTTACCATAGATATTTTGTGTTGAAATATTTGTTGATGAATCATTAAGAGAACAATGCAACAAACGACCAAATCTACCTAATGAAAACATAAAAAAGATAGTTAATATGTGTTTCATTTAGAGAAATGTTTTTTCTGAATTTTTCGATTAAGTCAACAAGTAGAAATTTTTTATAAACTTATATATAGACGAAAAATACATTGCATTTGTGAACCATACAAACTAATCCATTTATAAAATTTTATAAGTCATGATCCACTTCAAATCATATAAAAAACGACCCTTGTCTTTTTACTGTAAAAGAAACTAAAGAACAAATAGGAGGTGAGACAAACAAGAGTTTTACAATCAATGCTTACGCTTTCCGTATGACATAGTTTATACAATTTGATGTAGATCTTATGTGCAAAAATGAATATCTCCAAGTGTTTTCATGCATACTCTAATGGACAGCAAAATCTCATCAGCATATTATTTCGTAGTAATATATATGGGCTATTTTGGACAAAATTGGACCGACTCATCTTACATTTGACTTTAATTCTTTACAAGTGTAAACATGTTGACCCTTTCAACTAACTATAAAGAAGTAATTAGCAGATATCTCTCTAATCATATGAGAATAAAATCCGAAAACTTTAGGATAGACTCTACAACACGAACCGCATCTATTTTGAAATTTTCAGCAAGATCGGACTTCAGAAGAAACCGGTATTCTAGAGACCTTATCAAGTCCTGAAACAAAAAATTTTTATCTTATCATCATCTAGCGATTCTAAAGAAAGATTTGTACTGTTTCGAATTGGCTTTGAACTTCTTATTTGGTTATAAAAGTCTTTTTTCATTTGTATGTTCACACTCTGTCACATCGCTAAGAGAAAGTAAATCTAAGCATGCTCAGAAAAAACTTTCGATAGTGTTTGTAATATTAGAAGCTGTCTACAGAATGTACCATTTAGTTTTTCCTCAATTTAATGACAACTCCTCTGAGCAAATAAGTAAAAGACAATATTTAGTTTCAAACAATATGTAAAAAACGAGACTTTCAAAGCTAATAAAGAATAATGAATAAACTTTTTTCAGATCTATATATGAATAAATATTATTTGATTCCACTTAAAAATCATTATATTCCTTATTATTTTCTCAAAATTCTCATCGTAACCATGCTTTTAGAATACTAACACGACTTTTTTCTCTCGAAAATTAATTTTTTAAATAGTTTATCGTTCATGAAATGACCAATATGATCATTCTTGAAGAAATACTAATCAACAAATAAAAAAACCAGTATACCTTCCATAATGATTTCATGTAGTGTAACACGATTTTGATCAATAGTACAATCAGCAAAAGTAACTGAAGATAAGAGTTCATCAGTTGTTTTCGTAAAATCATATTGAGTACATGAATATAGACTAACATCTTCAAAAGTTGTCATATCAAATGACATGGGTAATGCAGGATGATCTTGATTATCATGACTTAAACTATAAAAGTTCATTCAAAATATATACATTCATATTCTAAATCGAATAAAAATACTTACTCATTCGATATTGTCTTATTTGTTGTTGTCAATCGATAAAGACAAAATAAACTTATAGCTGTACAAAATACAATTAAAAAAACAACAAAAGCAATAATTAATGAATAAGTAAATATAGTTGTTATTGTTATCGATGTAAAATCTCGATGTCGAGCTGAATAAGAATCAGAAAAAAAATTTCAATAGAATTTGTTTTTTTTTTGTATAAACTTACATTCTTTAATAAGTAGATAATCCATAATTTGATTTGAATTATAAAATTGTGAAAGTACAGATTGATTAATTGTTGTTTCAATTCGACAATATTTCAAAAATTTTAAATTTATAATCATTGTTGTATGATTTGTTGTTGAATTATACAATCGAAATAATACTGAACAATTAATTCGATTTGTTGTTAAACAAGGAAACAATATACTAAATGCTATAATCATCCAAAAAAAGACAGTAGAAATAAAAATTTTTTTCCATTCAAATCAATTTTATTCTTACTCGAAATTTCTTTTGGCACAATTCCTTTTTCAATTATATTTAATACTGGCCGTAATAAAGATTGTTCATCACTCGAACTTGTATTATATTCATAGTATAACTTTGACTGTAAAATAAAAAAATAGAATCAAAATATCTGGTCAGTAAAATAGATAAAATAGTCAATAGTAAGTTAAATGATTAGAAAATCAATAAATTGAATGATTTATTAATAAGGAGAACAATTTAATACAGATGTCATAAAGCCAAGCGTCATGAACCTTAATGTAGAGTAAGTATTTATCTGCTAAATGATGCAGACAATGAAAAAAGTTACTATTTATAAAGCTGAAGGGTGAATGTGAACCAAAAGAAAACCTATTCGAACTCGCACCCTATTTTATACGGATAAAAATAAATTCTGTTGATAAAATCTATATTTTTCATTGGTCAAATTTGAATACTTTACTGCTCAGTATATATAATATACTCATCATTTGTATATCTTTTTACTGACTATTTCCTCTATTTTACGGAGTACTTAAATCAAAACCAAAAAAAAGATAAATGAGTACATAAACAAAGAAAGGATAGGTAGATCTTGACGAGTAGAATAAAAGTTGGCATAGACTTAAAGTTCTCGGATTCTGTCTCCTATGAGATCTTGAGATCACAATGGCGAAGAATGGCCCCTCCGTTTCTCCAAGATGTTATGTTTGATCGAGCTGAATAGTTTTTTTTGTTGTTTGAACAAAAAAAGTCAAAGTATTGAAGTTAACCTAAAAAACGCATACTTTTTTATAAGAGCTGCGAAAAATTAGCAGAATAATGGAAAGAATACCCATCCCAAACAATGTATATGAGATGTGAAAAAAAGTTTCAGTTAGATCTGACTTAGTCGACTGTAGAAATAGGGGCGTTTCTGCGGTTTTTTTTCATGAAATATTTGTTCGAGAAAAGTGCAAACCCATGAACAGTTTTCGCTAACTTGACATATTTTGTCGAATCTTTTAACATTTAAAGACAATGTTTGAATATTCAGTAGATAGATATTACTACAGGCTATATAATAGTCACAAAAAAATAATTTGGCTTACGAAAGGAGAGCGTACCCTTAAAATGAGCTTTGAATGAATTTCCTTAAAAATCTTTCTTTGTCAAACTATAGCCTAATTTTTGTCGAAATCTGCAATTTATTAAATATATTTTATATAACATACTTTATCAATATCAAATCTATCTTCATTCCAAGTAAATTCAACAAAATGAATATTAGCAGATACCGATAAAGAAGATTCAAATGCTGATTGTCGAATACGATTTTCATTAATAAAATATAATCGATGTTCTTTTAATTCTAAATATTACACACAAAAAAAAAGAACTTTGAATATGATATATAAAATATTCAAATTTAAAAAATACCAAATAATTGTTCAACAGAAACTGAATCAAGATATAAATTAAGTTGAGCATTAATTAAATTAATTAATAATATGATAAGTAAGATATTCATTTCGTTCAAAAATTATTCTCATGTGTCTTATTATAAACCGCATGAAACAATATTTTCTTTTCTTATTGGTTTAATAGAATAGAGAGCGCTGTGAATATTTTCAAATTGGATTGGTTATAATATTCGATAAAACAAAGACTATCATCTCGATAGATGAATGGATGTATGAAATACAAAAATAAATAAATTCTATATTTATGAAATTTATTCAATTTTATATCATGTGTCATAAAATCAATATCTTTTGCAATATCATTTATAGTGTTTAAAAGTTTTTACCCACATCTTATTTCAGATGTCTATACTTAAAACATAAAAATCTTTTATTACGTACACAAAATTTGAAAATCTGAATATATAATGGGTGTACCAAAATTTTATCGTTGGATATCAGAAAGATATCCAAATATAAGTCGAGTGATTAATGATAATCAGGTATCTATAATTCTATATATATATATATATATATTTGTTTCTATGGAATATTTATTATCTTTGTTTTTTGAAAAGATACCTGATTTTGATAATTTTTATTTGGATATGAATGGAATAATTCATGCATGTTCACATATAAATGAAGATAACTGTGAAATAAATGTAACAGAAGAAGAAATTTTTCGAAATATTTTTCATTATATTGATGTAAGTCATTATTATAATTTAAAAAGAAATTAAAAAGATATATTTTTTGAAATTTTAAGTTTTTATTTCGAATGATAAAACCAAAAAAAGTATTTTTTATGGCTGTTGATGGTGTTGCACCACGAGCAAAAATGAATCAACAACGTGCAAGACGTTTTCGTGCTGGTCGAGAACGAATTAAGAAATTAGAAACAATTGCAAACGAATCTGGTCAACCATTAGATGAAATAATTGCTAAAAATTTTGATACAAATTCAATTACACCTGGTATATTATTATATAAAAACATCTTGACTTTTCTTTTTCACATTTTTTCTATTTATTCATATTAAGGAACACCATTCATGGCTCAACTTAATGAACAATTAAAATATTTTATACATGTAAAACTTACTACAGATCCACTA